GATGAGTCCTAAAAATAGACTAATTTGTACCCCTATTCACAAATCCCGAGAAAAAAATACTTTATTCCTAATTAGGGATCATAATCTCGGGTTATTAACTTGATATCGAGTTCATGAACTCCTCGAGATGTTAACTTGACATCGAGTTCATGAGAACTTCAGGTTATTAACTCGACATCGAGTTCATGAGCTTTATCGGGTTGTTAATTTTCCATCGGGTTCATGAGCTCCTCGGGTTGTTGAATTGAAACCAAGTTCATGAGCTCCTCGATTTGTTAAATTGACATTGAGTTTGTGAGCTCATCGAGATATTAATTTGACACCAAGGTCGTGAGCTCCTCGGGTTATTAACTTGACATTGAGTTTATGAGATCCTCGGGTTATTAACTTAACATTCGAGTTCATAAGATCCTCATAATATTAATTGACATCGACTTCAAGAGCTCATCGGGATATTAAATTGCAATTTTTGGGTGAAATACTTTGTTCATAAACTTATAATTTTTTACATAGCCATTTTTCATTAAAAAGGTGGGTTTGGGGTACAACCTAAATTAGGAGCTCGAAGGCTTGTTGGAACTTTTAGGGCCTTGACACGGTCTTTATTGATGTATATTACTTGTCACTTGTCGTTGCCCTAGGTCATTAAACAGCCATCATTACTCAAGCTTTCTATTGCTCAGGTTAAACACCACACCCATTGTTACTCGAGCACCATCACATCTAGCCTAAAACTCGTTGCCTATAGGCTTCACCTCGACCTTGATCAATTTATACATCAACCTCAAGCAGTCACACTCAGTGTGAGCAATTGCACTTTATCTTCTAACCTCGAGCATTCTAAAAAACATCATTGAATCTCGAACATGGATGCACGGGAGGCCAATGATGTCTACAATTTATGTATGGCCCAACCACCCACAATCTGGGGCTCGAGGTCATGATAACCTCGAGCAATCCCCTTTGGCCATAACTTCTTGGGCTTTTGTGATCGTGCTAGGCCTTGGGTCTCTTACCCTTACTACCCTTTTCATTCCATCTCTTCACTTTCCAATCCTAAAAGGACTCTATTACTGTAGTCTTACAATTTCAACCAACTTATAACTCCTATTCATAGTCGAAAACTCAAGTCTTTTAGGACTCTCAAAAAAGATAAGGCAATCAAGTGATCCAATTCTATCAAGATTGCACTGTCTATCTCTATAAATACCCAGCATCCATTTATTATTCAATTATGCTTTTATATTGATTCACTTCATAGCCTTATGCCTATATTTCCCCTTTTAGCTAACTTGAGCATATGAAGGGTGACAAGGACATATCTCGACGCCTTGTTTCAGATCTTGGAGATCCTACTCGTGCTCATTCTTAGTTGTCAGCTTAGGTATTCACATGTGCAAATTCTAGACGCCTTTATTTCAGGTCCTGAAGATTCTGATCGTGGTCATTCCCAATCATCAAGCTCGAATATTCACAGGTGTAGATTTTTGATAACATTAATAACAATACCAAAAAAAAAAAAAACACGCATTCAAAATTTCTAATTCCCTTATTAAAATCATAGAAAGAGATATATAGATCTTTAAGAGTTCTTGCTTGTGTAAATGTATATGTGAATGATCAAGATACGGTTATGGGACAAAAGATCAAAGGCTTTTCACAATTTTACCATGCCTTGTGGCCTTCGCTAGGGCAACCAACGCTACCTCCGATGCATGAAAGTCAACTCCAATTGCTTAATTTCAACCCTTCGCCACTTCAATGCGAATGAATCTGATTATCAACACTATCAACAATTAAGGGTAAAAATGAAAAAAAAATGAAATATATGGGCTTTTTCGCAATAATAGTGATAATTACCCTTTTAATAATTTACTTAGATTTCATTTGCATTTTAAGAAAAAAAAATTGGGATTCTGTTTGCAATTAATTTTTTCTCTTTCTTTTTGTTTTATTTAAAGAGAAGTGTATATTCATTATTTCACAATTTTTAATTTAGAAAATGAATGAAAATGATATTTTGCACAACAAAAAGTGAAAAATAAGGGTGGAAATGCTAGTTCCATACACATCAAGTGAGACAAAAGGGATTAGCACAATATAATACATATTGTAATGTTCGATAGATGATAGAGATATACCTCTATACTTTATATGGTTTCAATATGTAGTCTAGTACTTATTAATACATTTATTATGTTTGCATCTTTCATCGAGAGATAGAAGAGTCACACGAGGGGAATATATTTGATTGCTATCGAGAGATGCTTTCAATTAAATTAGGAACATTGAATAACATGAATGATTTCAGACTGCCACTTTAATTGTTACACTAAAAATTGAATAACGATAAGGATTTGATATCTTAACAATGCATCTCACATACTTAAAAATACATTTACTTACTTTCACTAGTTTGATTAATAATTTAGGAATTAGTCACAAAATTTGTTTGTTATTCGATTAAAGTTGCAATTAATTTTAACTCGATCATACACATAGTTCTCGTGAATTCGACACTATATTCATTACCTTATTATATGTTTACGATCCCGTTCACTTATGGGTTTTCAAATGATCAAATTTTTGGTGTCGTTAAACACCACACTCATTGTTACTCGGGCACCGTCACACCTAGCCTAAAACTCGTGGCCTCTAGGCTTCACCTTGACCTTGATCAATTTATACTTCAACCCCAAGCAGTTTACACTCAGTCCAAGCAATTTGTACTTTATCTTCTAACCCCAAGCATTCTAAGCAACATTATTGAGTCTCCAACATGGATGCATGGAGGGCCAATGATGCCTACAATTTATGTATGGCCCGACCTCCCACAATCTCGGGCTCGAGGTCATGATAACCTCGAGCAATCCCCTTGGTCCATAACTCCTTGGACTTTTGTGGGGCTCTTGGCCTCGGATCTCGTGCCTTACTACCATTTTCAATCCATCTCTTTATTTCCAATCCTAAAAGGACTCTATTATCGTAGTCTTGCAATTTCAACCAACTTATAAGCATTCGGCTTTGGCCTTAGCGAGCCGACCTGATTCGATTTTTATTTTTTGTAATTCGTAGCAAATCTAAAAAAAAAAATCAATAATTTAGAATTTATACAATTTATACGTATTATAAATAATAACTAAATATTAACATGTAAAAAAATTACAGCTAAAACTTTAAAAAAAATTAAAAAAAAAGTATGATGCCTGCAACTTTTTTATTTTATTTTATATTTTTTTAAATTTGTAAATTACTTTTTCTTTTAGGCTCGTTTCAGCTCGTCACGGGGCCGGCCCTCTGTGGCCCGTCGAGCCACACGAGCTGACTCGGGCTCGAGCCGACACTCCAAAATGGGGCTCGGGCCTAGCCATGGGCCGTCCTAGCCCAAGGCTATATTGACATCCCTAAATGTGGCTCGTCTCATTTAATTATAATCTAATAATAACTAAAAATAAAACTAGGTGCCGATTGCATTCCATAGGGATTACCAAAGAAAAGATCCATTTTTTCCTTTTTAATACAATCCATCCCCTCAATATCAATAGCTTTCTATGACATTTCCCCATCATCTATGCCATACTAAAACGCCAAATTAAATAGTATTTAACATGCATATCAATTAAATAAGAATAAGAAGTACTGTGTACTCCCGTTTCATCAGTCCCGCGAAGAATGGTTAATTCACCTACAAGGGGACAGATAAGACTAAAGATCCACCACCACACGGCCTGTAAGAAATCAGTCACGTCCCACCAAAAATATATATGAACGAAATGATTGTTGAGCTCGGCCAGTATTCCTATGAAACATATATGATCCACCTTAATGGACGGGACCTTATATCACACTCAACTTACCTACCAATCAGTTTACATAAAGAAGTTTGACCCTCCACGAACTGCTATCTCGAAAGTTCGTCAAACTAACTAACTATCATTCGTCGGAATTCTTATCTGGTAGAAACCAGAATTGTAATGCTCGAGGAGTACAGTACCCATCTCAAGGAAAGCACACAGAAGGATGATAGATGCCTGCATAACCAACTTATTCATCACTAGAAAACAGTACTAGGTTCTAACATAACACCTCTAAGGAACAAGCCCTGGCTGCCACATCCCATAGCATGATGGCCGAGCAAGCTGACCATGCTTACTGCTTGGCCGTCTTTGCTTACTGGTTTAAAGATTTTACCTCCCAGAAGGAACTCTGAATTTAATTGATTATAACATCCTCATATAACGAAATTAATTTCGATTGCAGAAGATACAACATTCCACAATAAGTAGATCGCACGTAACATTATAAGAATTATAAATTCCTCTACAATTCCAGTAGCATCATAGCCATTTTACTATTCCTAACAGGAAGAAATATCACAAACTTCAGTTATCACTTATCATCAACATCAACCAAGAAAAGAAATTTTCCAAGGATAATAAAACACTAGCTACAAGAATAAGGAAGAGATGCACGTAGTAAACTTTGTGAATTGTTCAATTCAATCTTCTTCTCTCAGTGTACCAAAAATGTCATAAACACAAAAGAACAATGGGATCTACTAATCAATAACAAACTGCACAAACAATCAAGTAATGTAGTGAGAAGATCAACTTGAATATCTTAAAACACTACATTCAATCAAGAAAAGGAAAAAAAAATACCCCACCAACCTTTTGCACTTTGTTTACTTTATTCCCATGAATTAAAACGAAACTATGAACAATTATAATCAGCATTCCCAAAACAACTAAATCTATCTTTTACACCATCATTTTACCAAGAAGAAATTCAACTTCTTGATCAAATTCCTTATTCATCCAGGCTGGTGCATCGTACAACTAGATTAGTAGTAAATCCTTGACAATTAAACCATTTGTTGTCAGCAAATCACAAGGCCCTTGAAACTCCAACTGCAAATTCAATCAAACAATGGTATCAAAACCAATTCAAATTCATTAATCTCTGTAGAAATCAAAAACAAGAATTTACCTTTTTTTCATCTATGGAGCAGCTTCAGTAACCTTGTACATATCGGGTGTAATTTCGTATAACCACAATCCCGGAAATAGTGTCTACAGAAAACCCATTAAAAAAGAGAGAGGTTAAAGTCAATGGAATAGTGAAAATTACACATTTCAATCAATTATATGATCAAAAAAAGAAAAAAGAAAATTTTGAAAACCGTGTACACATTCTGTAAAAGAAATCAAAGAATTTGATTGATTGAATTGCAGTGTTGAATTTGAATAGACTTACATCCAATCCTTTCTGAACAATTTTGGCTCTCTTTTTAGGTCTGCGAGGGGGCCTGTGACCAACCATTGCCATGAAATCCTCTTCGATCTCTCTTTTCAACAGTGGCACCGAAAATTTAGCTCTCTCTGGAGATTCTTCCGCCGGCCCACTCCTCAGCCGCGGCGACTTGACATCGCCAGTAGACGGCATCCTCATCGATGGAAGCGACGCACTCGGTTTGATTACATCTACCGTGAACGGCTTCCTACTATCGGGGCCGGCGACAGAACCAGTTAATGGCTCCTTGCACGCAGCTCGCCTTGTTCGCAAATTCCACGGTCTGAAACTCCCGTCTGCCGAAACCGGTGGCGGCGGAGGGGGTGGTGCAGGTAGAGATGAAGAAACGAAAACCTCGCCTTCCTCAAGACTATCCTTGAAAATCTGGTGTTTCATCTGGTCAGCCACCGCCTGTAGATCGAACATCACCTTCTCTCTCACCGCAGCAATCCCATCATCATCGTCATCTCCGTTTTCAAATCTCCGGCCACCATAGAAACTCTCTGCCGCCTGAGTGGGACCCAACTTGTGGGATCCATTACTGTCCCTCTGTTTCTCTCTGGTTGTACGCCGCTGTTGGTGCTGATAATCAGAAGAATCGGAATCATTCGCATTGAAGCGTCGGAGGGTTGAAATTTGGCCGTTGGAGTTGACCTTCATGCATCGGAGGTAGCGCTGGTTGCCCCAGCGGAGACCGCGAGGCATGGTGAAATTGTGCAAAGCCTTTGATCTTTCTGTCGCCATTACCATATCTCGATCATCCACACACACATTTATACATATAAGAAAGAAAAGGGCTACGGTTTCTCTTCTTTGGTTTTGGTCCTGTGGGAAAATAGCCGGGAAGGGGAATTTAGCTTATATAAGGGGACGGGTAGGGTTGGAAGAAGGAGGTTTCGGACTTCTTTTCTGGTTTGGTTTAACGTTAGGATTTGTTTTGAGTTCTCAAGTGCTAAGGTGCGCCATAGCGCGATGGGCGCCTTCGATAGAAACGCGACTCTTCGTCATGTTAGTCATATAAATGCGATTTTAATTTGATCGAAAGTTTTGTTTTAATTTTATTTTTTCAAAACGGTATCTTACGGCTTTGTCCCCTTTTTCCGAATGTTTTGTGATGGTCAACTTATTGGAATGTGAGGGAAAGAGAATCTTAATTAGGTTATTAATTTTTTGAAAAGCCGCATACTTGCAATTTCAATAGTAATAAATGTCTATCTTTATTTTTTTCTTTTTCCTTTTTTTCTAAAAAAATCTATAAAATACATCATTGTAACCCTCGTTTTAGGAATCAAGACTCCCATATTATCAAAGGTAAATTTTACGTCAAAACAAGATGAGATAAGTATACAATATACAGTAGTTTGAGCTACTTATATTTAAAAACGAAATGCCAAATCTTATTATGAACTACATGTTGAATATGAAAAGGAGATCAAGTGTTTGATATTCACATGATAATCGAAGGGCCGAGTGTGTGGATTTTTCGGAAAAAAATTTCAGATGAAAATAAAGAAATTCAAATCACTATAAACTCTTTCATAAGCCCTCGAGGGTTGGCGGCTTCTTAAAAATATTTTCAAAACAGAAGTGAGGCAACGAAGACCATTCCAAAAGAGAAATAGAAGCGGGATGACCGATATGTGAACAAGTAGAAGAGGAACCTTGTGAAGTCAAGATACTCATGTATGAGAACTTAAAAGTAATTGGATTTAAGTATGAACCGATATATCTCAAGTCAAACCAGTTTATTTAATTTAACAAATGTTTTTATTTTCTTTATCAGTCGAAGCAATATAATTGGCACTCGTCCTATAATATCCAACAATTCTTAATGTAATAATACACAACAAGCAAGTATAATTCTCTCCTTTGTTAATCTTTGTTTCTTCTCATCGTGTCAAAGCCACACCTCTTTGGTCCAAGATGATAAAATAGATTGCGTGTCTTATTAACTTGCAAAAATTTGATGTTTTACCTTTTAAATAAACTGAGTCAATTTGGTGTTCAACATGATTAGTCTCCAAGATGATCTATTCCAGTTCTATATGAATGTCCACCTAGAAAGGTTTTTCGTGCCTAGTGGATATTAAAAAGGCTAATCATGCATGAATTGAAAAATTCAGTAGTATAGTTCATCAGTTGGGGTTTTTCATCAAGTTCATATCCTCGTGTCATGTTGATTCATTGAATAGTTAAATGTCATATTCTTCTCATCCTCTATGTTAATGATCATATGATTATTGGGTTAATTTCACAAACAGTCACTGAACTTATCTAAAAATTACACAACGGTCATTGAACTAACTATTAGGACTGTTATGATGCTAATTCAAACTTAAGGGATCAAAACACGAGGACACGGAAGCTTGAGAACCTCAAGTGCAAATTTGGCCAAAATTCTGCTCAAATTCGCCGAAATTCGACCCCAAAATTTGACAAACGAGGGCTGTAATTTCTACAATTGATTGAGTACCCCAATGCTTTTTTAGCCTGAATTTCAATTTCCCCATATTGATTTGTATCTTGAAACACATTTGAACCTCCAATTGACGGATGAAATTCAGATTCACACAGGCGTACCGTTCTTGAAGCCAAATCCAAAATTGTTTCTTTTGACTGATGAAATGCAACACTTAAATCCTTACCCAAGGTCGTTTTATCATGAATTTCATTCTGGTCGGTCCAATTTGTTAATTGGAGTTGTGGAGAAGCATCAATTGAAAGGGGATTGAGTGGCTCGCGATGCGTTTGAGCTGCCCCACCTTTAATCGTCGGTTCCAAACCAAATTGGGGAAGACCCATGCGCTCAATGGATGCGTCGGAAGCAGTGTTCTAAAAGGTGTAATGCGTTGCGATGTGTCGAGGTCAAGAATCAAGAANGAAAATAGCCGGGAAGGGGAATTTAGCTTATATAAGGGGACGGGTAGGGTTGGAAGAAGGAGGTTTCGGACTTCTTTTCTGGTTTGGTTTAACGTTAGGATTTGTTTTGAGTTCTCAAGTGCTAAGGTGCGCCATAGCGCGATGGGCGCCTTCGATAGAAACGCGACTCTTCGTCATGTTAGTCATATAAATGCGATTTTAATTTGATCGAAAGTTTTGTTTTAATTTTATTTTTTCAAAACGGTATCTTACGGCTTTGTCCCCTTTTTCCGAATGTTTTGTGATGGTCAACTTATTGGAATGTGAGGGAAAGAGAATCTTAATTAGGTTATTAATTTTTTGAAAAGCCGCATACTTGCAATTTCAATAGTAATAAATGTCTATCTTTATTTTTTTCTTTTTCCTTTTTTTCTAAAAAAATCTATAAAATACATCATTGTAACCCTCGTTTTAGGAATCAAGACTGCCATATTATCAAAGGTAAATTTTACGTCAAAACAAGATGAGATAAGTATACAATATACAGTAGTTTGAGCTACTTATATTTAAAAACGAAATGCCAAATCTTATTATGAACTACATGTTGAATATGAAAAGGAGATCAAGTGTTTGATATTCACATGATAATCGAAGGGCCGAGTGTGTGGATTTTTCGGAAAAAAATTTCAGATGAAAATAAAGAAATTCAAATCACTATAAACTCTTTCATAAGCCCTCGAGGGTTGGCGGCTTCTTAAAAATATTTTCAAAACAGAAGTGAGGCAACGAAGACCATTCCAAAAGAAGGAAATAGAAGCGGTATGACCGATATGTGAACAAGTGGAAGAGGAACCTTGTGAAGTCAAGATACTCATGTATGAGAACTTAAAAGTAATTGGATTTAAGTATGAACCGATATATCTCAAATCAAACCAGTTTATTTAATTTAACAAATGTTTTTATTTTCTTTATCAGTCGAAGCAATATAATTGGTACTCATCCTATAATATCCAACAATTCTTAATGTAATAATACACAACAAGCAAGTATAATTCTCTCCTTTGTTAATCTTTGTTTCTTCTCATCGTGTCAAAGCCACCCCTCTTTGGTCCAAGATGATAAAATAGATTGCGTGTCTTATTAACTTGCAAAAATTTGATGTTTTACCTTTTAAATAAACTGAGTCAATTTGGTGTTCAACATGATTAGTCTCCAAGATGATCTATTCCAGTTCTATATGAATGTCCACCTAGAAAGGTTTTTCGTGCCTAGTGGATATTAAAAAGGCTAATCATGCATGAATTGAAAAATTCAGTAGTACAGTTCATCAGTTGGGGTTTTTCATCAAGTTCATATCCTCGTGTCATGTTGATTCATTGAATAGCTAAATGTCATATTCTTCTCATCCTCTATGTTAATGATCATATGATTATTGGGTTAATTTCACAAACAGTCACTGAACTTATCTAAAAATTACAAAACGGTCACTGAACTAACTATTAGGACTGTTATGATGCTAATTCAAACTTAAGGGGTCAAAACACGAGGACACGGAAGCTTGAGAACCTCAAGTGCAAATTTGGCCAAATTTCTGCTCAAATTAGCCGAAATTCGACCCCAAAATTTGACAAACGAGGGCTGTAATTTCTGCAATTGATTGAGTACCCCAGTGTTTTTTTAGCCTGAATTTCAATTTCCCCATATTGATTTGTATCTTGAAACACATTTGAACCTCCAATTGACGGATGAAATTCAGATTCACACGCGCGTACCGTTCTTGAAGCCAAATCCAAAATTGTTTCTTTTAACTGATGAAATGCAGCAATTAAATCCTTACCCAAGGTCGTTTTATCATGAATTTCATTATGGTCGGTCCAATTTGTTAATTGGAGTTGTGGAGAAGCATCAATTGAAAGGGGATTGAGTGGCTCGCGATGCGTTTGAGCTGCCCCACCTTTAATTGTCGGTTCCAAACCAAATTGGGGAAGACCTATGCGCTCAATGGATGTGTCGGAAGAGTAGTTGCCTGAGGTGGTGGTCTGGCGACACCCACGTTAAGCCTAATATACCGGTCGATTCTCCTCTTCTAGGCACCCTATCCATAGCCTCCAATCAACAAATAATCAACTCCATCAAAATCAAAAAGCTCTGTTCGCGTTGCCTGCTACTGCGCATTCTTCATCTTCTGATTCCGACGTCCACATGTTTTGGTCCTTTAAGTTTGAATTAACATCATAACAATCCTAATAGTAAGTTCAGAGACCGTTTGTGAAAGTGCATGAAATTTCAGTGACTGTTTCTACAAATTTTAAACTTTAGTGACCGTTTTGTAATTTTTAAGTAAGTTTAGTGACCATTTGTGAAATTAACCCCATGATTATTACATACGATAATTTTTATGGTATTGGGGAACTCAAACAATATATCAATGAACAATTTGATAAAAGTGCCGACCTTGATTATAAGTGGGGTAGGCATCGCCTACGGCCCCGCTTTGCTGAGGGCCACAAATTTTTATTATTATATGTTATAATTATATACAATAAAGAAATATTCTCAAAAAAGCTTTACATTTTTACACCTAGTGATGTGATAAATTTTTGTATAAAAGTTAAGGAAAACACTACTTTTACATAATTTGGGTTACTTAAGGATGTCCATCCTCTTACATGGGGTGGACCCCACATGAATTAAAAAAAAAATTATTCATGCGGGGTCCACCCTATGTGAGAGGGTGCACACCCTTAGATAACCCAAATTATGTACATGTATCATATCTCAAAAGTTAAATGTTCATCTAATGAACTCTATAATTTTATTGGGTATATACCAACAAACAAAAAAAGTAATCATTTGAGAGAGAGAGAGAGAGAGAGAGCACTTGAATTCGA